AAATTAAATTATTAGCTGCTATTTGCTTTACGCTGTGCTACGAGTATTTGGCATATTTTATTTTTTTACTTTTATATTTCTTGAGTGTGTGTATGTGATTCTGCTTTTTCGGATATTCTACGAAATTCATGAACCCAAGCAACATGGCGAGCGAACACTCGGTTGTGTAGGAGGACGCATCCAAGGTGGAATGAGCGCACGTCAAGGAGGTGTCGCGCGGTAGGGAAGGCAACGTTAAACGCAATTGATATATCTTTCAAGCGCGCCTACGAGCGGCAGCAGTCTGCAGTGCCTACATGTGTACATATGTATGTGCGAATGTGTGTGCGCCACCATTGCCGCCAATCTCAACGCTTAAACAGATTCGACAAAAATATAATGTAAACAAAACTCCGCCCCTCAGCGACGCACCATTTAACTTACTCAGTATTGCAGGCGATCATTCAATTGAAATGTTTTCTCTTCAGTGTGTTGCTTTGGTTGGATGCTTTGGTTGTTGTAGCAATTGTTGCTGCTGTTGCTACACCACCATCACCTTGCTGCGCGCGCTTGGGCAATCAAGATGACAGTCGCATCTACATACATACATACATACATAGATGTTGGCTTTTCTTTTGATTGTCGATCGATTTGCCGGTACGACGACAACCGCATTGATGAGTAGTGGCGAGCGGCAGGCAGCAGTGACGATGGAGCGAGCATCAATGACAGCAGCCAATGCACAGCAATCACGTGCGAGGCTAGTGGTGGTGGTGTTGCTCGAGGTGGCGTAAGAGTGATTGTAATGGCAGGGCAGCAGTAGCAATGGCGGCAGATGCTTGCGCTTACGGTAAACCTGTTTTCGTACGTTCGATCGCCCGCCTCAATTAATGGCTCGTTTGCCACTCGTCGCCGAACTCAATCGACACGCCATTAATCGCCGTCGTTGGCTTGGCAATAATCGATGATGAAACCGGTTTTTTTTTTTTGTGTCGGTGGAGCAGTGGAGCTCTTCAACTCACTTCGCCTAATGGATAGGTGCATACAAATGAGTACATTCTAGCATTCTGGTATAATAGTTATGGGTACATACATAAATATGTACTTACAAGCGTGTGGATTTACGTCCTTCACGTCGCCATTAAATTGATTTCTGTGAATCATTGGTTGGGGATCTGTTGCTTCGCTTTGATGACGCCATTTAGTAAAATATTGTGTTTTTTGGCCGAAATGTGCAATGAAACCGATTTTAAATGTTTCTGTTATGAACGGAATATTAGTTGAAATAGGCAATCTAAAATTAATCACCGAAAAATGCTAACGAGACGATCTATTGCTTTAAAAACAAATTACATTAAGTATAAAGGAACCCTTAAGCATAAACAGACGGCAGCGTTGATCCGGATCAACTCGGGAATTATGTAACTGCAGTTGATCCGGATTAAGTCCGAGTAAATCCGGATCAACGCTGCCGTCTGTTTAAGCTTTAAGAAGACGTATACGGATTCAATGATTTTCTATGAAGTCTGGAGAGTAAGGGAAGTTGGTTAGTCAGCTCAGCGAGCGCTGGCCGAACACCTTGGAGTGCAAGGTGGCAAAGTCTTTCTGGCCACGGGTGGACCGGGGGCGGTCTAGGGAGCTCTTGAGACTAAGCAAGCTGCATCTCTCACTTTTGGTGGGAGTGCTTACTGGTCACTGTGTGATTGGTAACCATGCTGTAAGGCTGAGTGTCGCGGATAACCCTTACTGCACCAGCTGCATGGAGGACGATGAGGTGGAATCATCTCAACATCTGCTGCTCTGGTGCCCTGCCATTGCGAGCCTAAGGATTAAGCACCTTGGGTCGCACTTTTTCACACTCCCGATGAGCTCTCGGGTGTGGGCATCAGTCCACAGAAGAGCTTCATTGTGAGCACGGAGCGTTTCTCCGACAAAAAGCCAAAGTCTTTCTTTCTCCCATAGCTTCCCCCTCTTTCTCCCTACCCTCCCTGCGTCCCTCTTTCCCACCCAAAAAGAAATGGCGAAAAATGGGGAATAAAACCACATATAGTACACTGGATGTACACAGCTGTAATAAGACCCATACTTTTATACGGGGTCACCGTATGGTGGCCCGCGTTAAACAACACCTTGTCCAGAGCCAAGATGGAACTGGGTCCAGAGGACGCCTGCCATGCTCGTCACGGGAGCACTGCCCACCACACACACCAAATCTCTGGAAATAATATTAAATCTTGAACCTGTGAATCTCTACGGAAAATTTCGGGCCGGCTGCACTGCGGCCAGGTTAAATACCGTAGAGAGACCTCAGATTCGGACACGCAAAAGTACTTACTTAAAACTCTACCGGATAATCTACGACAGTTAAATTATATCACTCCTCTACTCTGATTAGACAACAAATTCTCCACAAGAATAACAGAGAGGAACGAATATGAAGGGGTCACAGACTTGAACCCAGGGTCTATGGCCATATATATCGATGGTTCCAAGCTTAACAAAAGAGCGGGTAGCGGGATTTACTCTGATGAACTCGCGCTAAACCTCATTTTTCGCTTACCGGACCATTTCAGTGTCTTTCAAGCAGAGCTAAACGCCATAATGGAGGCGGCTTGGTGGCCCATAACCTCCGCCCCTCCAGGCTGCTATTAAATCTAACGGAACATTGTCCAAAGTAGCCATAGAATGCAGAAAGACTCTCAACTTGCTGGCATCAAAATGCTCCTTGACTGTTGTATGGGTCCCTGGAAATAGGGACTTTCCTGGCGACTGCCTAACCGATGAGCTGACAAGGAGGGGGACAGAATTATCTGAAGTCAATTCTGCTCAGCATGCGGGCATACCTCTAACCTCCTGCAAACATAGACTAAAACCTGAACTCATCGAGTAGGTAAACACCAGGTGGGCTGTGGAAACCACCTGCCATACTACCAGACAAATGCGATCCATAGCTCTTACTCGGCTGGACGGCTCCTCTCTTAGATTAGTAGTCGAGGTAATCACCGGACACTGCCTGATGAGCACATACGGTAAAAGGTTAGGATACCGAACCAACAATTTTTGCCGCAGCTGCAGGGACGAGGAGCAGGAGGAGACCATCTAACACTATCACTGCCATTGTCCCGCCCGCAACCAACTCTTCAACAAGTACTTTCTGGATTGTTTAGCCGACTTGAACTCGGCGACCGTCCTCCACTTTTTGTGCTATATATAACACGCGCTCGGTGCTTCAATTACTAAGGGAGGGTAAGAAGTAAACGGCTTCGGCCAGTGGTATCACAGCGGGCTTTTCCAGTCTGCGTGTGCTCCGTGCTCTGCGCGGGGCAGCCACTTCAACCTAACCTAGTTTCGTCTTAAATATTTTTAGTCGTTCTTCTTATATCTCGGCCCTTTTTCTTTGATATCGAAAAAGTTCTTGCACTTCCATTTGCTTCAGCGGATTTTGAATTTGCTGAGGACCGCAAGCTTCTTGAAACCGCGCGTGTATCATCTTCAACGTTTTCTATTCAAGTTTAACTAACAGTACGCACAGGAAACGAGCCATTTGAATGAGGTTGGACCAGAGGGAGGCGATGTAAGCTGAATAGAAGTAATTGAGCTTTCATGTGACGAGATGGTTGGTGTCATAGAGGGAGTCTCCACATGCCAGACACTCATTGGAGATATCCGAGTCGACTCTGGATAGGTATGTAGGTATGCTTAGTCGCCTATAATATCCAGACTGTAAACGGAATAGGTGGAGACCGATTCCCTACGAATGCCGTTGATAACTCGTCGGGTACAGTGGTTGGTCGATGCAAGTGTGGACTGCGTCCATATACTCACCTCCTCAGGTGTAGGCTAACCAGGCCGAAGCCATTTTTGAGTAGAGCGACAAAAATGATAGACTTTCTGAAATGATACGCGTTACACTTACGCAAGATACAACGAATACACTAAAGCACGAATTCCACTACTGTTTACCTAAATTCGCTCTTTTTCGAATTCGAATTTTGATGGGTAATAGCAGAAATATGAACTTGGGCGAGCCTAAGATATTGACTAAAAACTGTCACCTTTCACACAGATTGTTTTTAGAGCATAATGAACCATATTTTTGCTATGACCAATCAAAATTCTAAAAAAGCGGATTTTCGGCCCACACTAATACACATACATACATACATACCAATGTACATACTTACGTACAATCCAGTATTTATAGCATTCATTGATCAGCGCTGATGGTTCAGGTTGGTTAGATTTTTTTTTTAGTCAAATTTTTTCGTACGAAATTTTCCTTTGGCGCGTAAAACTCACAGAAGGGTGAACATGTGTTGGCCCTTTACGAGCACAAAGAAGAAAAGCAAAAACAAATTATCGAAGCGATCGCCACTTGAGCGTAATGTTCTGCACATACAAATCTACTCGCATGTATGTATGTAATTAGTATTGTAGAATTAGCCCGTTCGTATTGTAGTTTTTATGCTCTTGTTTGCCAGCCAAATGTAAACAAAAGACTTCAATGTGGGAGAAGCGTCGCCACCGCCAACGTCGCCGCCATTTTTGCTGCTGCTGCTGCTGCCGATATCCAGCACCTCGACAGCAGAGCCGGCGTGATTTCGTATGCAAAACTCAGTCGCACGTACTACGCCGACTGAGGAAAGGATGTGTGGTGGCACTCAGCAATCGATCGCTGATGCGGCTGGCGTAATTGGAGCGTAACTAGTGCAAAGATTTTTCGGTAAAGATAGATTCAGTTGATCGAGAATAGCGAAAGAGAAAAGTACAAAATCGCGTAAAAGCTGGACGATATATACTACACACATATCAGCATAAAGTGAAAAAAAAAGAATTCAAAATAAAAAAGTGAAAGATACAAAAAAAAAAAATAAGATGAATATAGCGTATCTATCCATGGACACATATAAAAACATCGCGAAAGTGTTGAGTTGAAACCAAAAAATAAATTATATAAAAATTAGTCCTAGCAAAATTATTGTTTGCATAAAAGTGGTCCAGTGAAACTAAATAATTGCATAATGATTAAAAGCGAGGATGTAATGGATTCAAACGGTCATTCCGGCACGCACAATGGCTTGCACCACCACCACCACTCCTCCGCACATTTACCTCATCACAGCAGCATTTATCGCAATCTGCCGTCGAATATCTTGTCAGCATCGAATTTCGCCCCCTTAACATACGGCGATCAAACGTCCATGATGCGCATGCCGCCGCAGGAGTCACCTGAATTGCAGGACGAGAAGCCCGACCTCAACTATCTCGATCGCAAATATTACGCCACCATGATGGCTCAACCGCCCGTGCATGTCTCGGAGGCCGCCGCCACATATGGACTGACGTCAATGCACACCATATGTGCCTCCTCGCCGCATACAACAAACGAAAACGACATTGGCATGCTAATGCCGATTTCGCCCAATTCGTCGCCCCACAATGAAGGTGTCGTCGTCAAATCGCCGTCGGAAGGTGAGCTGCAACAACATTATGCGGCTACACAAAATCGCATCATTTCCGCGAAAATGTCGGATCTGGGACAGCAGTTGAATCCACATTATACATCCACCATAAAATATTGTACTAGTAATGCGATTTTCAATACCTCCGAGTACCTGGCGCAGCACGAGCATGAACATACTGCTGCGCCATCTGCGATGCCTGTCTCTGCGGAAGCAAGCTCTTCTGATCATTTGTCGCAGTCCTTGCAACGCATACAAAATGTCGGTGGTATGCCATCAGTGTCCAGCGGGTCGGGTGTTATAACCAGTTCGCATAGCGTTTCTGGCCAATTATGTGCCACAACCGAAGCGATGTCCTATTCGAATAGTTCGTCGCCGGCGAAGTCGGTGCATAGCCACCAAAGTGAAGGTGGTGGTACAACGACGCCTGGTGGTGGTGGTGGTGGTGGTCAACAGCATCAGCAACAACAACAGCAGTCAACTTCATCGTCAACGCAGGAACTAACGCCGCCAGATACGACGAAAAAATCAGGCACAAGGCGCCCTGAGAAACCTGCATTGAGTTATATAAATATGATTGCGATGGCGATCAAAGAATCACCAACGGGAAAGCTGACGCTTAGTGAAATCTATAGCTTTCTGCAGAAAAGGTAAGATGATATGCGATTAAGGAGGGCAATACAAAATTTCTCTATGTATTGCCGTCTTAGTTTGATAAAGTGGCTATAATGCAGTTAAAGCTTCACACAGCCCTGGAAGTTCTCTGTTCTGCATTTTGTCCCTTGGCTGCTTGGTCAATAATGGGATTTTTTTTTTTGATTTATGGCACCCTCACGGCTATTTGTGATCATATATGGTATGTGATATGATATATAAACAGATGACCCATGCCGGCATTAAAGAAAATCACGCTGCCATCGGAGAACATTTTTCTTAATTGCAAGGTCTAGAGAAGGCAGGCCATCGCGCCAGTAATACTTTACTTCTGTCTTACTATATATACACCCCTATGCTGTAATCCGTCGTAGATTCGATTTTACTACGAATCGTAAAATTGGTATGCCGAAATCCGCGTTGTCGTATCGTAATTTCGAAATTCGTAGGCCATCTTCGAAATTCGTAATGTTGGTATGCCTGAATCCGACGTAGCGTCATTTTTACGTATTTGTCAGAAATTTTGTACGAGTAGCAACTCATGTCGGAGCGAAACAAATTGTTTTAAAATATCAATAAAATATAGTGTGTAAACCCAAAAATATGTATGTAAGTTGAAGTGTGAATACAAAAAAAAATATTAAATGTCCAAGAAATTATCAGATCGAAGATCACAACAAATCGCTCGCAATACAAAAAACTGGTGGAATGCTTCGAGGCTTCGTAAAAGGAGCTAAAGAGGATCTGGTGGAATTTTGGGAAAGCGTTCCAAGAATTAAAGCGGCACAATATCTAGGGAAATGGAGGCCCTTAAAAGGAGGGAGCTTTGTATTCTACTTAATTCTACTTAATTAAGGAAAAGTCTTTTCAAATAATGATTAAACTAATTTTTTTTTAATTTCACTATTCACTTGCGATTTTATTTATTTTGATTTGTTTCTGTCAAAGCAGCTGATTAAGAGCTTCACTATTTTAGTTGGCAACGCCGTTGATAGTTACGATCGGATTATAGCATAGCAATTTTCGAATTTTCGGAACTGAGCTACGAATTCGTAACTACGAACTTCCGGATTAGAGCATACGGGTGATAACTTGACGGGCGAAGCATATTGACGTTAGAATTGGTTTGGAGATAACATCGATTTCGCTCCATTAGTTTCGGGTAGGCCCAGATAGAAGCCCAAGCCTTTTGAATAGCCTTTTCCATGAGAGCTTGTCATCAAGGATAACTTACCGATATTTGGGCTTTTTAAGGAAGTCTATATTTTCTCCTTGAGAGAGTGGTTCTAGAAATTTGAAAACGATCATTTTTGTCTTCTTGAGATTTACATTTAACCTGCTTTACTGCACCATTTGGCGACTATATTCAAGGCATTCTGTATGAGATTAGATATTGTGTCCTGTCCTCAAACCTACCTCTGATACAGATGACAATTTCGTCCGCGTAGCCCTGAACATCGTGACCCTCTTTACTAAGAAAACAGAGTAGTTCGTCAACTACAATGAACCATAACAGAGGCGAAATAACTGGGAGATAGACCAAATTGGTTTCTATGCAATGGTATTTCGTAGGGAGGACGCAAGACTGATGGGTCCTATGATTTGGATTGGTCCGCTGGTTTTTACCCTACTTGGGGGAAGTAAAAGGTGACGGTCTTCCTGCTATTGTAGTGGACGACGATCTACATACATATGTATTTATGTATCTATTAACAACTTTGGTATTTAAATATTTCTATTTGGTCTGTTTATGTTTATTATTTCAAGTGCCCAACCAACATTTAGGTTTTTGAGGGACTTGAGGTTGAGAACGATGGTACATTTGATATTCAATTAGAGCTATCTCGCATTTTAGCAAAAAGTACTTTGTGATTGTTGGAACTTGTCTGAGACTTAATTGCCAGCACTGATGTTAATTCCAACTTTACAATTGAAAAGTAAATTCTTCTAACAAGCTATATATAAGGTCAACATTTACATCAGGGATGAGAGTTAAGTCTCAAACAAGTTGTAACATCACAAACCATTTAGCCCTCGATATTTATGTAACTATTTCCGAATCTGCAACGTCGAGTCTCAACATATCCTTAATTTGAGAAACCGCTTTCTCAACAAAAAGGGCATATTTAAAAAATATATATATGTATATATATATATATATATATTTATGTATTTCTGAACTCGAGAAAAGATAGTCTTCAATTTGCTTATTATCATTTTTTGAGATTGAGAATTTTATATTTTTTTTTAGTATTTAGAGAATAATTTTACATATCTATGTACACTAAGGTGCATCACTTTGCATACAAAAATAAAAGAGGTAGCGGTTTTCCATAGGAATTAGAAAATTGATTATATTTTAATACTTCCGAAAAAATATTAAGAAAAATCATATTTATTTATAGAAAAAAAACGTTTTTAAAAATATATCTTCTCAAAACTCACCTCAGTAGATAGACGAGTTTAAGATTAAAAGGTAAAAATGTTAAAAAATTTTATCAACGGAATCAAAAATATTGGAAGTAGTAATTTTTAAATCGGCCCTGCACACGCAAATCTTAATATTTTTCAAAATACTTCGTCGGAAGTCTTGCATGTAGCTATCAACTTGAGAACTCTGCATTTTTTTTCTGACAATGGCAAATTTATGTTAAAAAAGGCAATTTTCCCTATGGCGAACTCCTTTACAAAAGCACTCTTCCTATTATTTTAAAGTGAATAGCTTTTCTCCATTTTATTTTTGATCGATACCGACTTTTTTCAATTTCATCTCTGATTTGGTAGACGTATCAGAAGGGTCAAATCATATGTATGTACCTGGCAAAGACATTTCAAAAAGGCAGGACTTTATATTACTTACTTTTTTAATTGAAATTTTGAAAACAATTTTTTTTTCGACATATTCAGCATCGGCGGACTTAATAAAAAAAGGTGATTTTAGAAAAGTTTAGTATTTCGCTAGAACGTATTAGAAAACTAACACCACCAACATTTTAAGGGCCCACAAATAATTACCCCTACTGCAGACTATCTTTCGTTAAAACTTTTTGAATAGAGGTTCCTCGAAAGCTTTTAGCAATTTCAAAAAAGTGGCTTATTGCATTGTCCGCAAATATCATGATGCTTAATAGTCATAATTTAACAGTTAAAATTTGATTTTGAATCCTCCAATCAAATTTAACCATTATTTTATGATTTTAGTTTGTTTTTTCAAATTTAATTTTTTAGATCATAAAGGATACAAACCGTTCGTAAGGACGCAGCTATTTTGCAATTATCTAAAAATAAAAATCTTAGTGCCTGGCTGAATGTTGTCGTCTAGAATCGCAAAAGCACAGCTTTCGGCAATTATTTCGAAGTTTGGCCTTTTTTGCCTTTTATTATTATTTCTCAAAACAAAATCATTTGAATTTCTCATCTGCTTTATGCTTGTAGAATAGCTACACAAATTATAAAATTCAGACACTCTCTCAATATTCTTTCATCGATAATCGCGTTTAATTGAAATTTAAGCTGAAAATGCGTTTATTTTCACAACAATTTGAGTGCGTCCGAATTTGAAGCCTTTTCAACTCTGCTCTTCTTTTGTTCTTTTTGAGGCCACTGCGCACTAGTTGACACCAATTCTGCTTGGCAAGTACATATGTACATTAGGGTGGTCCAAAAAGAGTAAAGTCTTAATCTTAATGTTCTCACCCCCTAGGATTGTTCTATATTGAAAAAAAGTACACGTATATTTTTTTTATTTATTTAGAAATCAAAAAATATTTAGAAGTCGCTCAAAGCGCTCAAAGTTTTCCATGAAAAAGGAGACTTTCAATAGCAATACCCAATTGCTTATTTAACCAATTTTTAACACTATCAATTTTTTATTGGCCCCCTCACCGCATTTACCGGGGCTTTTGAGGGTTTTTGGCGGACCTATAAAATATAGTTACTCTAAAAAAAATAGTTAAATAAAAAATGGATAATATTATTGGGAATCTTCTGCAGAGTTTTCCGATTGAAAATATTGATTTTTAAGAATTCTATACCATTTCTACGAAAAGTTGTTTTTTCCCCATATAAAATACATGAAAAACTTTGAGCGCTTTAAGCGACCTCTAAATATTTTTTGATTTCAAAATAAAGAAAACACAGGTATAACTCCTAGGTAAGAATCCTAGAGGGTGAGAGCATAAAATTTCCGACTTTACTTTTTCGCATGCATTTTTGGACCACCCTAATGTACATACATATATGAACATTTTTATTGGCTGTGGTCCTCCTACTTATGTACATATGTACATACAAATGAATGCTCAAAAGCCATTAAAAATTCTCATATTCCTAAAATTAAAGTGAAACCGAAAAAACCAATACGAACCAGCGTTGATTTTTTTTTCCATTCGTGCCATTGCGTGCACTGACTGATGTCCCGGTGGCCTCTGTGTGTGTGCCAGTTGCCGTGTTTATTTAAATAAAAGCTATAGTTTTAACAAAAACAAAACCTAAAGTTTATGTAAATTGCAGCTTTTTGTTATGTCAATTGTTGTTGTGATTTTGTTTATATTTTATGTGTAAATATTTGTGCCCTGTGACAGGCACTGTGGGTGCCACTTCGTCCCAGTCAATGGCGTTCTGTCACAAAAATGACACAGGGTATTTATTTTTATTTTGGTAATGGGTTCTTAACGACATTTTCTGCTTTCATGCTTTTGTCTGGATTTCGATGAAATTTCGCAGAATTAGTTTTATCTGGGTAGTAGCTGATTTTTTTCGGCTCTTGTGCTGCATGCCTTATTGCACGCACTTCGTGATAATTCAACATTGGCAGAAACTATTGACAGAGTTATATGTAGATGCTTTCAGCATGCACTACATGTACCACAGTCCTGAGTTTTAAAAGTGTATCCTTGCTAATTTAAAAAAAAATCAAATCCGTTTGGATACCCTGAATTTTGGTAATGGCCTTGAACTAGCAACGCCTTGGCTAGACAATTGAAAGTCTCACGTCCATATACATACATACAGATGGGTTTATGCCTTGGGAGCTACACCCCTTGTCATAATTAAAAGCGCGCCACATAACGATAAGTTTTCAAAATTAGTTCTTTTTGATATTTAATTTTCGTTGTTTTTTTGTTTTTTTAATATTAACTATAACTTATGGAACAAGAACGATATAAACACAAGTTTAAAACTTTTTGCAATATTTAAAAAAAAATTCAATAAACTTTCGTAAAAATTGCAAACTTTTTAGTTAGATTTCTTAGAAAGATTTTGTAAAGTTGTGTAGCCCATATAATAAAGTGCAGTTTTTTTTTGCTGACGGTGTCGTGCATTTTCTTCTATAGAAATTATATGCGAAGATTTTTTTATGGAGAAAATAAGAGCACCTTAAAAAAACAACATTTCCAAAAATCAACAGCTTCTTTAAATTTATACGTTATTATACTAATATTTAATGGGCTACAAAATTGCAGACTCAAAACCATCCTTGGATTTTGTGTCGATACCAGGGGCGAATCTATTTTTTTTATACATTTTTTTCAAATTGAAAACTACATCCTTCGTAGTTTTTTTGCAAGCTGATCTAGCACTTGTTGAGGGTTAACCTTCAGATCTCTATGTACATTTAGGAGCTCCAGCGCAACCAATCTCTCCTGCCCAGTGCTACTACGCAATTAGGTCTTCAACCTTTGAAGGGTTGAAAATGATCGCTCGCTCATTTCAACAGATACTGGCAGTGCCGCGCCTAATTTCAAATAAACAAAGATGCTCGGACAAAGACTTTTATCACCATGATTCAAGGCGTAAACGGGACCAAAGTTTTTTGTCATTTAAAAACTGGATATATATTTTTCTTTTTTGGCATTTGAAGTAAACTGAATATAGATTTTTGGGAACTTAAAAACTGGATATAGATTGTTTGCATACTTATAAATTGGAAATAATTTTTAATTCAATTAATAACTGGTCGTAAATTGTTGGTCATTTAAAACTGGACATACATTTTTTGGCCATTATACTGTAATGGATATAGATTTTTGACAACTTAAAAACTGTAACTGGTTCCTGGTACTGACATATGTACATACGTATTTATCATAAATATTCTATTCACATGTTCCTAATTTAAATTACCTTTCCAGATTCGAGTTTTTTCGCGGTCCATATGTGGGTTGGAAAAACTCTGTGCGTCACAATCTCAGCCTAAATGAGTGCTTTAAAAAGCTGCCGAAGGGCATGAGTGTCGGCAAACCCGGCAAAGGCAATTACTGGACCATCGAACAAAATTCCGCTTACATGTTTGAAGATGAGGCCAGTTTACGCAGACGACCGCGCGGCTATCGATCCAAGCTAAAAGTGAAACCCTATCCAAGCACAAATGGTTTTTACGCAACTGCTTCCTACGATCCAGGCATGGTAGGCTATTTGAAAAAAAAAATAACCCAAATGCGAAAACACAGCACTAAATAAGATTCTGTTACTCTTTCTTTTTTCACAGGACAACGGCAACTTCTACGCCACGCAAGCATATGGCTCTTATGAATACACTACAAGCAGCGCTGCCGGCGCTACACCCTACACGGACGCATGGAATTCACACGCTGCTCACGCGCAGACCACGCTGCCGCAGTATTCTAATATAGCCGCCGCCTCTTCCATGCTGCATAGCAGTAATAACAACGGCACTCCACCACTGGCACACACACTGACTTCATCTGCGTTGGTGAGTGGTGGCTCGGGTAGCCCTTCGCATGTTACTTCATCGGCGGCGGCGCTTCAAAGCTCAAATGCCGGCCTAGATTACGCGACAGCCACTATGGTGGCCGCCAATTATCCATACGCAAGTACGGCGGGTGGCGGTGGGGTTGTAGGAGGAGGCGCTGGCGCCGCTTACAGCCTTGATAACGGTGAGTTGTGTGGGAGCGGAGTACGCATACATACATATGTACATATTGGGGTGGTCCTTAAAATATCAACTTTTTAGGGCACCCTTTTATTTCGTTATATGTACAAAATAAAGACATCCACGAAAATTTCAAAATTAAGAAAAAACACGAAGTCGTTTGAGGGTTTCAAAAAATGTAGTCTTAGAATTTGACCAGCTATAACTGTGCGGATTTATGAATCTATATGAATAAGTTTCAATAAGATATCAAATTTATCAGATTTCATTCAAGTCAACATTTTTTAGAATTTTCGCGATTTTTTTAAATGCAAATTTTTTCAAACCAGATTTTTTTTTAATATTGAAATTTTCGTCTATGTCTTTAATTTGTACATAGAACATAATAAGAGGTGCGTGCCTCTTACAAAATTTAGATTTTGATATTTTAAGGACCACTCTTATACATATGTACATATGTACATTAGACGGCATCACCAAAAAAGTTGCAGTTTTTCCGCCGGGATTGCAAAATTTGTTATATTTTAAGAAGTCCACCAAAATATTTCGGAAAAATATTAAGATTTTAGTGAGCTGGACCGATTTGAAAACACCTCCAAAAAGGGAGTTTTTTATGAATAAAAATGGTTTCTTAAAGAACTTTTTGAAAAAACTCCATCAGATGACAAAACAGATTAAACTTAAAAAATCTGCATACAAATATTTAAAAATCTTTTCAACGGAATCGTAAGAATGAGATTTTTGATGCTGTTTTTTTTTACTTTTTTCAAAGATTGATTTACGAAAACCTTGAATAACTGGACCAAAACTATTCTGATTTAGACTTAAGGGATCTCAGTTTAAAGGGTTTTTCACACTGTTTTTATTTCTGTCCAAAAAAAGTCATTCGTATCCCAATTTTTTATTTTTCAAATACCAACACATCTTAATTCAACTTTGGATAACGTTCGTTCATCCTACCTTTCTCTGTCATCTTTGAATGAGTTTATTAGCAAAGAAATAAAAACGATGAGAAAAAACCTTTCCAATGACACCTCTTAAGTCTAAATCGGGAGAGTTTAGGCTGTGTTATTAAAGTTTTTCTTATACCAATCTTTGAAAAAAGTTAAAAAACAGCATCAAAAATCTCATTATTACGATTCCGTTAAATTTTTTTTAAATATTTTTATGCAATTTTTTTAAGCTAAAACCGTTTTGACATTTGAGGGCATTTTTTCAAAAAAAAAATTTAAGAAACTATTTTTCTTCATATAAAATTCCATTTTTATAGGTATTTTCAAATCGGTCTAGCTCACTTAAATCTTAATATTTTTCCGAAATATTTTGGTGGACGTCTTAGAATATAATAAATTTTATAATTCCAATGGAAAAGTAGCACCGATTTTTTTTGTATGGGGAGTGATGCAGTCTAATGTACATACGTATGTCAAAAAATGAGAAATAGAGCTTGAAGTTGAAGTTGAGTGCTACATTTTATAAGTGCCAGCTTCATGGCGATCGCGTCAATCAAATATCTAAAATGCATCTTAAGCGCCAGTCGGATCCATTAAAAATTGTTCCACAAATGCCGGAGTAGCAAGGAAGAAGCGTAAGATTGATGTTGCGTATTTTTACGAGCTTCATGTGTTGTCGGCGAAGTAAGCCGGGGTTGTGTTGTTGGTAATCACTTTATACTTGCATACGCATGCGCACATAAGTACATATGTATGTATGTAAATTTATTTGCTCGAATGTGTTTGGGTTGGTAATCAAATGAAGATCGTTTAAAACTTGAATACTCATTTTTGATGTTACCGGCAAATGTGTGAAATTTTTTTTGGTTTCCTTAAATGCCATTTTCCATATATTTAAAATTTCTTGCATCCTCACGCTTTAGCTTGGAAACTAACTATTTCCGTATCTCTCTTTTCTTCTTTTATATATGTATGTATGTACGCAGGCTTGCGCTCAATGACTCTCTCGCACATGCACCAACATCAACAACATCAACAACAACAACAGCATCATTCAGCGATGACGCCGCCACCGCCACCACTGCCGCCGAGCTCCACATCCATGGGTAGTTCCACGCTTATCGATCGAAAGCCGATATTCTTGCCCTCAATGACGACACCACCCTCGACTGGCACGATGTCTACGCCGCCGCTGCACCACCAACATTTGGTTGGCGTTAACAATGGTGGTGGTGGTGGGAGTGGCGGCTACTATGAGCATATAAAGTTTTCAAATTAATGGCTGATTTAGTAAAATTTATAATAAATACTACTAGGTACTTAGGGGTATACTATAATAGAGTTTGTGGCATCACAAGTAACAAGGTACCAAATAATCCCTTAAAGGGTGAAATAACGTTTAACTAGTTAGTTTAAGGTTACATTACTTTAATATTGTTTCTAATTTTTTAAGAAAATACTTTTGTTTTAAGAAAAAAAATTTTTAGTTTTTTGGTATAAACCTAACCTATAAGTATACCTAATGTTTAATATTTAAAATAAAAGAGAAGAAAAATAAATGCGTTACTTATCTGGCAATGATAGTTGGGTTAATTGAAACGCTCTGAAATAAATGGTTTGGCCCTAAATCGACCCAAGTTTGAACATCTATGGAGTTTTAGAATTTTGAAGCCTATTTTTCGAAGTGCTTGACGCTGATTTCTACGCCGCCGTGATAGTTTCTGCAAAAATCATTTTGGAAGCGTCGTATGATCACGATTTTTTTTTTTTACAAATTCTGGCCAATTGTACAGTGCACTCGCGATAACGTGAACTAATTAGAACTAAGTCAGTTAAGATTAACAATAATGTTCGCGTCTGCATTAAGGTAGCTCTTGTAAGGCACTTAAAAAAATGTATGTCTCTTTTCGAAAGCATTATTTCGGAATCTAGGCCCATTCTAACTGCCCAAGACCCCAATAATACCTGAGTAACTACATATAAAAACAACATTTTTAGCTGCACTTTAACATGTCACGAACATCATCATGAGAACATCAGCGTTTTTATAAAAAACCCACTAGCGAGACCTACAAAAAAACTTTTTTTTTCGAAATAAAAAAATATGTAACTCTTTTTTTGTATCACAAATAACAATATTTTGATGTAGCCTTTATGAATTTCCAAAAATATTGTTTTTCTTTAAACACTCTAATGTACATCTTAATTTTGAATGAAAGCAGGAACGGAAAATAATCACTATTTCTTAACTTTTAACCAAAAAAATCAACAAGTTGTAGTCGTCGTAAAACAATTTTAGCTATACTCACGTATTTGTGTTCGTACGCTCTGCTGTAATTTACAATGATTTTTATTTTTCGAGTTTAATCAATAATGATTAAAAATAATAATTAATATTTGATTTATATTTTGTCGTTCAAAGATAACAATTATTAATGATTTTTTTTCACTTAAGAATAATGATTATTAAAAAAACACTCAAAAGCTATACCACCGTGATTTCCGACGTATTCTTTTCAGAGGTAGCGACACCCTAATAAAAGGATTAAATCCCAAAATTTTCAGGTCAAAATTTCAATAGATTGCGTCTGTATGGCATTTTCAATTTTATATATGATCCTTATTTTTAAGTGTAAAAATTAAATTCATTAATAATTTTTATTTCCGAGGGAAAAATATAAATCATAAAATAATCATTATTTGTGACCGAAAAAATAAAAATCAAATAATAGTTATTTCCGTTGAGCGAAAAAAATAAAACTCAATAATAATTATTAGATATTTTTAAGCGAAAAAAATCGTAAAGTAATGATTAAATGCTGATTAAAATTAATTTACTCATAATGATTACCGTCCCTGATGAAAATTCAAAATTCAACCCCCTTCCATATTCCTTTTCAGCGACCCCAAAAACTTGGACATAGTGGAGACTACCCTCTGGTTCACAACATATTTTTCGTGTACCTTTCAGATTTTCCACCTAAAAGTGTTCAAGATTTGTTTTTTTTGGGTTTGGTATGTTTACAAAAGTTAAGGCGTGAGAAATTCTTACCAACTTTGTAAAGAAATTTTGCTGGAAAACCAAGCGCATAAAAGCTAGAAACCATAAAAGGGGGTACAACACCTGAAAAGTTTCCCTTGAAGCCAAAATTAAAAAAAAGGCGTGTAGAAAACTTAAAAAACTAATGATGCAGTTCGATTCCCCATACCCGCAATAAGGTGAAACCATCCTCTCAGTGTAATAGCTTGGCTCTTTCTACATTAATTTGCTAAAGACTAGCTGCATTTAGTCCTTTAGTCCCTGCATGGCATTGACCGGAATGAGGGAAATTATTTCTTCGTTTGTATCTTCATTAACTTCAACTGTGTGTGCGGAAGTCTTTCGATCAGCAGCGCATTGCAGGATTTAAAAATGACCCCGGCAACGTACTTTATTTAACGTGACGTAACGCTAGTCAATTTGGCCGATCTCCGTTCTTCATATTTGTGTAATTCATATCGGTAAAGCGAATATCCGGTTTGAAACTGAGACGAACTGCTATTAGTTCGTAGATGACGCTGTATGTGGTGAAGCGAAGAAAATAAACGCACCTAACGATCGCAGATAATTTTTCAACAGTTGAAAATAGGAAAACGCAGCTCGCTTTTAGGAGTTAATCGAGTGATGGGTAAAATAACTACTTCCGGCGAAAACGGAAAAAGTTCTATCAGTGAACTTCTGTCTGTATGTATGTAGATGCGCTTGGTTAATATTAAAAATTTATACTAAAAAATTTTTCATTTGAAAAAATTAGGAAAGAAAACTGATGAGGACTTAAGACGTTCTCTTAACTATCGGCTAGTACTTTTTGCGTTTAGAATTTTTTGGTTTTTCAATTTAAAAGAAGCAAGATCTGTTGAAGATTTTCTATGATTTTTTCGTGGTCTTATATTCCTGAATAAATTTCAACATCAGCTTTATGTCACCAGCTTAATGCATACATATGTACATTTAGGCGAATATTTTTTACAAACGTTACCTTAGTGCATTGTCGGAAATATAGACGAAAAATGCCAGCCTAAATAGTAAAACTTAAGGGTTTTCAAATCGGAGAGGACTCCAAACAGTTTGATGAACTTTCGATGATATCGTTTTTAAGCTTTGCCTACAACTCCAAGTACTTTCAACGTAATACCAGTATCGTAGTCAATTACGGCATACTTACACATCTAAAATAGATGCATATCTTTTGTATGTACATACAATTCCTCAACTAATACCCCTCTGTTAGAAGATATCAATACGACAAAGGCATTAGTAACCAAAAGTATGTGGGACTCAATCCAATTACGCACATAATTGTCTCACTTTTGTGAACAAATTAAAATCTCGAAAAGTCAAAAGAACCTTCTTCATATACGCAGATATTCAACAATTTGCCAAGCCAGCACAGCACAGCCTTTGTCATATAGAAGAGAATAAAAATCGCATCAAAAAGTCGACCAAGCCGGATCTTTCGCATTTGCAAGTCGAAAGCTGATCGGATCGCATCATCTTCTTAGCCAACCATGAAGGAAGAATCACAACAAGCGACTGAGACGAATTTTAATGGTCAGCGGACAGCGGACAGGCGGCAGACACTGCTAGTGGCTAGTGCCACCGTAGGCAGGATAATTTTGTGCGAAACCGTTGAGAATTGCAAGACTAAACAAAAAAAAAAAAATGCACAGTCAAAGGATAATCAGGATTAAATCTCTTTTAAAAGTTAATGTTTACGTACGCACCTACCAAATGAGACAGCAACCGTTTTGTAGCGAAGCAGTCGTGCAGCAAAAAATTGGAAAATTGTGCGGAAAAGTAATATGAAAATTATGAAAATATTTACACAAGCGCACAGCCGAAAGAGACTTGAGCAGCAGCAGTTGCAACTTGCTACCGCTCCGACGCGGACAATGCACAATTGGTCAAGGCATCAATGGAAATGCATTTGACAGCCGGTTGCGAGTGTTTTTTTTTTTTTTTGGACGGCAGCAGTGAAGCCAGCTTGCATGTGAAGTGCAACGAAGAACGCATGAGTGGCAAAAGGATGTCATTGGTGGCAAGTAAATACATATGTAGGTAGATAGGTGGTAGGATTTGTGTGTCATGTGTAAACAAAGTATAAGCAAGAAAAAAGTGTAAGGGTGTGTGTTTGATGATTGGCTTTGCAAAAATCAAAAATAAATATTTAATTTGTAAATAAAAAATTTGCGGTACCCCGAAATGCTATTGGATTGGATATTGTTAGCGATTTTGCTGAGTGATTAAGAAAAATATTTATTTAAAAATAATTATATTTGTATAGAAAATTTGCAGAAAATATGTACATATGTATGTATGAAGGTTTTTGTGAATTAATTCTAATTTAGTTATGCTTGCTTAAGAACTTATCAAAATATTTATATGAGGGCTTGCATTTGTCACACTGTAGTTATATTTAAGAATTTATTACGAAAAACTAGAAATAATAAAGGGATTTTAAGAATACAGAATACTAAGAAATTCAGATGAGAAATAAATCTTAATAAGATTCGAAAGCAAGGTGGACAATAGCTTTTATATGAAAGTGCATAATATAAAAAATAAAATAAAATAATAAATAAAAGAAATCCACCAGTATGACAAAAACACGACGATTTGACAATAATAATATATTTTGGCGCTAACACTTTTGGCTAAATTCCAAACCTTTATTCATTTCGATTGATGAAAGATCCAAATTGTTGACGTGATAGCATAAAAAGGTCCCAAATATTTTTTGTGGAGTGTTGATGAAGTGCCAGTCCTGAGCCAGATACAAAACTAAATATGTAGATACGTCATTTTGGTTAGATAGAATTCGCTTACCGAGCTTGGGCATTCTGGATTACGCAGTCTCTAATTGAGTATGCAAAATAACACACTGTGTCATAATCATAAGCGCACCAAATATTGGCAAGTTTTAAAAACTAATTTTTTCTTTATTTAATTTTAGTTATTTTTTATAAAAATATTGTTTATTCTGTAATATTAAAAAAAAAATCGAACTTCGAAAAAATGCCAAGCTTTTTATTTAGATCTTAGAAAGATTTTGAGTATGCAGTTTTGTAGCCACTTGAATTCTAGTATAATAAAGTGCTAGTTTAAAGTGGCTCAAAAATTACCGTTGATTTTTTTTAGATTTTTGTTTGTCGAAGGTATTGCGATTTTCCTCCATATAAAAATAAATTTCCTTTATTCGCTATAAGGAATCAGACGAAGCAAACGCGACAAAAAATCTAAAGAATTTAAAAGAATTCTAAAAAATCGTCGGTAACTCCCAGACACTTGAAACTTACGCTTTATTATACTAAAATTGAAT